TCGTCCACGAGAGGTTTATGGCCAGCTTCCAACAATGGGGCTGCCGTGCTCGTACGCTCCAAGGGCGTCGGTTGCTGGCCAATACTGTCATGCTCTCACTCTTGTGGCATGTTACGGCCGCTCTACCTGTGCCACCCGCCATGGTGCAGAGCTGGCAGTCTATGCTCAACCGCTACATCCTCGGCCGCAAGATTATCCCTACAGACCGTTACAGTCCTCTGCTGGCTGCAAGCCTGCAGTTTGACTCGAAACTAGGCCTTGGGCTACCTCACGTTGCGTCCAGGATCCGTGCACAACGGCTACAGATCCTTCAACGTGCCATGTCCCTGGTAACACCTAACCGTCAACTTTGGCAACCACTGGTATTACGCCAGTTTGAGAGGTCTATGGGTCGGCTCCATCGTGCATCCTGTCCATTTGACTTCTTATTATACCACCCCACTACAAGTCGAGGTGGTTCATGCTGTGGGAACTACACCCTCTGTGGATGGATGGGTGGAGACAGTGATCGGCTACACCGATGGATCGGCGCATTCAGCTGCCCCTCACCCCAGCGACAACTATACAGCTTCCGGTGTGGCTCATGACCTACGAGCCCACCATGTCGAATGGCAAATGTGCAGCTCGCATTGTCAACTCCCCCCCAACTCGACGGTGGTGTAGCCATGGTGCATGCAACCGGCTACGATGTCTAGCCGATATCGTTGCCGTGCACGGGCGATGGCCCACCCGTCCGGAGTTTATGGTTATGATGTGTCAGGGCAACCCAGCGGCCCCAGTGGAGCGCGGCAACGACGGGCGTATGCAATGGGCCCCAGTGTATCGCTCGGGGATGATTTACACCCATCTCACTTGCGTCTACGCCAGGGTCCAGGGACTCAGTCAGCTCCCTCCCCTGCCCTCCCCTGCCGCCCCAACAGCTCGGCACCCCTTCTACGGCCTGGCTAAGGACGTTCCCACCCCTTTCGAGCTCTGGCCACGGCGTATGGTGTTAGCCTTGGCCTATCATGCCCCAGCTACCGAGACACACCACCCCATGTCCAGCACTGCCCGAGCCATCGCTGCTGCCCTCCACAA